AGCCAGGTCTTCACAGCTCTTCTAAACAACAGCAGAGTGGGGGCCATCCAGATCTTGGGGGCAACCTCATTCCAGAGGGCAGGCACTGCTACAGAGAAGGTCCACTTCCGGGGTCCTGAGCGATGACATTGTTTAATCAAAGGAACCCGGAGCGCGCCAATCCTGCAGGACCGAATTAGCTGGGCAGATGTTAATGGCGACAGGCAACCCCTCAAGTAACCAGGCTGTATGCCACGTACCTATGCCACTATAAACATTTTTATAAGCAAATGTTATATGCTGTGTTTCACAATTGTTTCATTACACATTCCCTGGAAGAAAAATTGTGTTAAGAGGTAGAAAAAGTCAAATAACAGATTAAGCTCTGTTTTTTGTTTTATCAAATGGGAAAGTAACCTGGATAGATATTATTCTATTACAGTAACTGCCAATTAATAACTATAAATGTCCCTTGTGTGATACATAATAAACTACAACAAATAGTATGCTGTGGCAGCAGCTTTGCCAATTTTGTGGAAATGCAACAGTACTAAATATTTTTCTTCTGACAGGCAGCTGGGAAATGTGGATACTTCTGCGATATGGGATATTTCCCATTTCCTACAGAGCCTCTCTATAGCCCCCAGAAGGTTTGGAGCCATTGGGTCTGATCTGAGAATTGCATTTTGCATTCATCCTTGGGCTGTAGCCTCACTGATTCCAGGAGAAAAGTTATTTACAGCCTTATCCACAAGCCAGATAAGACAGAGTACTGTGCTTGAGTTTAGGCCAGTGGTTTTATTGACTTTGAAGAAACCAAATCGTTTTATATCCAAACAGTGTAATTTCAGCAATTTCTAATTAATCCCTGAAAAAAAAAGTTAGCTGTCTGCATTTTAAGTGCTTGTAATTTGAAATACAGGTAATCCTTGAGTTACAACCATTCATTCAGTGTCCATTCAAAGTTACAACAGTGCTGAATGAAGGGCTTATGACTGGTACTTGAAGTTCTGGCCATTGCAGCACCCCCACAGTCACATGAACAAACTTCGGGTGTCTGGCAACCAGCTCGCACTTATGACTAGTTGCGGCGTCCACCGATCACATGATTGCCATTTGTGCCCTCCCCTGCTGGCTTCCCCCAAGCAAAGTCAATGGGAAGCTGGCAAGGTAGGTCACAAGTTGCTGGAGTAAGTCTCTCCCCCTCCCCAGCCCTCCCCCTTTGCTTGCATGCACCACACCCTCCATCCCCCCTTCATTCGCACATACCCCACACTCTCTTTCCACGGCCTCCCACCCCATGCCCTCTTTCCTCAGTCTCCCTGCACTCACACACACACACACACATGGACGCACCCTGCACCCTCTTCCCCTGGCCTCCCTGCAATCACACACACCCCACACTCTCTTTCCACAGCCTCCCTGAATCACACACATGCATACACCCCACACCCTCACTCTCCAGCCTTTCTAAGCTTGCACCACACGGAGCACCCCCTCCTTCAACTCGTGCACAGCCTGTACCGGGCCTCCCAGGGCCTCCCCTACCCACCTGCAGCACCCTTACACTCCTTACCTGTTACTCCCTCTGGTTCCCACTTAAGGATCCATGTGTCTTGGGTTACGGACAGCCTGGATTGCTGTTGCTAAGCGATGTGGTCACATGACATCACGCTTCACAACTGCATTGCTTAGCGATGGCAATCCCGGTCCCAACTGAGGTCATAACTCGAAGACTTCCTGTAGTTATTTAAAATAATTGCATTTGTCACTTATCTTTGATATTTGGGAATAATTATTCTGTTGTTTTAGATGTGTTGGGGTTAAAATTTCCAGAATTCCTGTCTAGCAGATAGTATAATTTTTACACACCTTTCCCAAGTTGAAATTCTATTGATTACCTTTTGACTTACTTCAAGTAAGCACTGGGGAAGCGGCAAGCAGAGCTTCTTCTCATATTATACTACTTGCATGAATGTATATCTTCATGCAAAATCAGGGTTACTATATAAATCCAGTTTTAGAATGCCTGCATACAAAGAACTTGACACAGATGTAAATATAAAAGTTTTTACTTTAGATTTTATAAAAAGTTTTTTTTTCATTTTAAGAGTTTTAATGTATACATTATGCTCCTTTTTTCCCATTAAACTTTATTGCAGCCAATTTTTTTTTTGCAAAAAGCTGTTCAAATCTATGTGCATTACATTATTCACATTCTTTGGATTTCGCTACAGGATTTCAAGACCTTTTTGCCTCTTTGACTCTAGAGAGTTGTGAAATATGTGGATTTGTTCTTGGAATAATCTGGGGCTATGTCTTCCAGTTTGCAAATTTTGGAAAATACACTTAAATAGTATTTCCTAGCTAAGATAGATGTATACAACATTACACATGGCTAGGGTGAAAGAATACAACAAACTGAAAGTTCCATCTGGGAATGGAAGAGTGGCCTGGAGAAGTTTGAGAAGTTCTCATGAGGGTTGTATTTTCTGGAGTAAGCATTTCTCAAGGAGCCTGATGCAGTGGTATGTGGGAAATTGTTGACTGAAAGAAAAAGGAAGGTCAGAGAAAAACAGGATGGAAGTTGGTATAAGTCTCTATCTGACTGTTTAGTTTTTAGCATCTTGTAATCCACATCGATGAGTGTCTCCTTCAGAGATATGCCCAGAATAAACTTCTGCAGCTGCACTTCTAGAAGGACTGAATGGATGTGGTTATACAGGCTGCCTATACTCTTAGAAACGGAGGGATGGAAACAATTAGGAGTGGAGGAAGGGACCGGCAGGGGAAATCCTCTTTGTTTCTTTCATGCATTTGAGATGACCACATAACTACAGATTTTCAATCTCCTTTTAAGTTTTGCAGTCATGAATTGTGGAATATACAAGCCACACAAATATATTCATATATATGTCAATAGGTACAGTATATGCCAGCTTCTATCCCGTTTGTCCAAGGATATGAAATCAGTTTAATAAGACAGTAAAGAGACTGTCTGGTGTTGCACTCTAATCTTTTTTTTTTTTTAATTTTTTGGTTTCTGCATTTTTTGGGCTTTGTAAATCATAATAGATTGAATGCTGTGTCTTATAATGAACAGACACAAATTGTAGTTCACATTTACCTTTTATCATGTGAAATTTATATTGAATGTAATGAAATAAGTAGAATTGTGTTCACTGACTTTTATGATTTCAGCTTCATTCCACAAGGTATTGCATGATATTAAGTAACTGGGATCCATTGTTCTGGGTAGAAACATCTTAGATTGCAAATCTCCTGTTTCTTGATATGCTGGCTAGGGCCCATGCTAACTGGGATTCAGGAATATCTAGAGGGCCACATCTTGCCCATATTTACATTCATGTGTTACTAGTATTTATACATTAATCACTGGTTTTCAACATAGTATACACAAAACCTGTGCATTTTGACAATTTTATATATGATGAAAATATGTTTCTGAAGAGGCAATCGTCAGATTGTTCTCTCTATGCGATTTGAACTCTTAACTGTATGGTTGAATAGCTAAGACACCAGCTCTAAACTGCAGAGGTCCAGAGCTGGGCCTTCACCATGAGGAAGGGAAAAGACAAGAGTTATTATTTACTGTATAACAGACCTACTTATACTTTACCATGAGACACAATTTATTATTTACTGTGGGCAAAGCTTGTTATCACCCACTAGCCTTCAGCGAGGCAACCATAGTTTTCTGAGCACTTATGTTCTGCCAGTTTTTCAGGAAAGGCGAACAGAAAGAATGGGAAAACATTCTGCTCAGACCCACCACCTTGTCTGCATTTTTCTTTACTTCCTACAGGATGGAAAGTATATTTTCAAGATAAAAATCAATGATTCTTGAAGTGCCTGGAAATTTTTAGTTTCCTGCCATTAGCATTGTTGTTTGTTTGTTTCCATATTTCTGCAGTGTCTTGACTACAGGACGGGCATGTTGACTGGGGATCTTTGTGAAGATTTATGTGTTGCACAGACTTTGACCTACAAACGCTGCCTTTATTATGATCAGGGTAAGAAGGTAATCCAAGCTGACTGGAGAGGCCGCCCAGTGATCCTAAAATCAAAAAATGGAATATTCTCTAGCTATCACAGTCTTGGGTTTTTGGAGGAGATGGAATCACAGGGAATTCCAGAAACAGAGTTGCTTCTGATGGTTGCTTTGGAGATCAAGAACACACTGGGTTTGGAACTTCCTAACAAAACTGTAGGACCTTTGTGGAAGAAAAGAGGCCCACACTGGAAAGCACAACTGGCTAGTTTGTGGTCTTTACTCCAACAAGAAGAGTACATTTACTTTAGTGTTTTGCAAGACATCAGTAAACATGTTCTAAGAGTTATCGGTTCTTGTGGCCACTTTTACGCTGTGGAATATCTAACAGCTGGACATGCGTGGGACAATACACTCTTTTCTGTGGAAGATGCTGTTGGTGCTTCCCTCTCTGGAATTAAAAACAAGGCCAAAGCCATAATCCAAATTGCAATCAGCTTCTTGGATATGGTGAATCATTTTGACAACGACTTTTCTTATCGTCTTCATCTCTGTGATATTAAACCAGAAAATTTTGCCATCCGAAATGATCTGACGGTAAGTTAGAACCCCAACATTTCATAACTAAATGTAGGATTTATTGTCATAATGGAAGTTGTGAGCACATTCAACTCATAACAAAGAAAAGCCTTGCTCTTTGTTGAGAGCAGTCATGAACATTCTTCACAGCAACAGTTTTCCAGATAGTGACCAGCCTTATATATTGGAGCAGCCTGAAATTCTGCTATCTAAAGCTCAGTCACTTACCTTTGTACTGTCCTAATGTTCTACATTCTTAAGAGAATATCTCTTTTCCTGTGTTGATCTACAATATCAGCAAGAATTTTCTTGAATATATAAGCGATTTGCAAAAATAATAATGATAGGTTGAACAAGTAGAAGCTATGCAAAAAAGTTGCAGCATGATGTGCTTCTGTTTCTGGTTCCAGCAGACCAGTCTTTCATCTGAACATCTAATTGTATTTGTTTCTCCTGTGCTTCCCCCTTCCCCAAACACACATACTTTCAGCATTACATAGTCATTAAACCCATAGTCATTGGGTTCCCACCATCCCTTTAGGTTTCTACATATCTTTTAAAAATTATTAAGTCTATGGAAGCTGTCATCTTGTGCATAGGTGGTACTGGTTTGGTTTTATAAGCAATAGTACTTGCAGCTCCAGCATCAGAAGCAGATAATTATGAAGGTGAAAAAGGATGAAGTTTCTCACTTGTACAGCTTCATCTTTTTGAATCCCAGTCTTCAGCATTTTCCAAAGGTATTATAAACCTTAAATATATAGACCGGGTGGGCACTGGGGGGCGGGGGGGGTTTAAAGTCACATGCCCTTAGATGAAAGTAGCTGAAGCCTCCATAGTAGTGATGGATAGTATTAATTCCAAAAATGGATGAAGTCAAAGTCAAGAGTGGATGGAGGCAATGGCTCTTCTCATTTATCTGTCCTCTAATAACACCCTTTCTTACATGCAGTGATCGATTTGCCCAAACATTAGCAACCTATCCATCACTTCTGGGAAACAGCAAAATAGCTTAAATCGCTTCCTTTTCTTGTGCTGTCTCCCATTCTTCTTCATACCCATACAGTCAGACAAACACATACAATCACATACCGATTAGTTTATCCCCATTCTAATTGTCCATCACCTTATCCTCTATACAATTTCCTTTGCCTCATTCATATACTTTCTTCCATTCACACATTAACCTTTCATTCACATCTCTTTCTCTTTCTGTCAACACACCAGGAAAGGAAAATGGAATACCAGGAAGCAGGAAAATTCAGTAGTGGGTTTGGTATTTGCTGAGGGCCACACTGGAGGCAAAACCAGGGGACTGTCCAGAAGTGCCATAGATGAGTAGGAGAGATTTGCATATTCTGTTGGATTTCCTGACAGTTTGAGATGCACTGGGCAATTTGCAAGAAAGCACATTCTTGATTTAACCCATCATGAGCTTTTGGGGAAGGTGGCACAGACATCCAACTCAGTTCTAACCTCAATGTTAGTTTTTATAAGGACTGAAACTTCTGTAAAAGGGCCTTCATGTTTTCAGTTTAACTTTAGGCAAATTCATTTATTTCTGTGGAGTGAAAGGAGAATGTGTTCATTAACCGAGCAGAATTGGTATTTATTTAAGTACCTATATAGAATTCCACACTGGAAAGTCCGATGCTAAGGTGACTTAAAGGAGTAAGAATAATTTAGTTTTCTATTCTTTGGAACTTAAGGAAGTCTGAATTATTAAGTGGTGAGCAGTTTTTTTTCCTTGGATTAATTATACTTATCATATGTTTACTCAAATTCAGCACAATCATTCCAGAGTGCCCTTTTATGCATGCAGGACTCCTTCCAACTGACTGGAAGACATCAGCTCCTGCCTCTGCTAGCCATTGCTCAACGTCATAGCTACACAATGCTGACTAAGCTGCAGTAATGTTGGTAGTCATCTACCTTGTTAATCATGCATATCTACCCAAGCAAGACATGTGTAGTTGCAGTGCATCATGGGATAGTGCCCTTCTTCAAGGGAAGAATGAAGTCCCCTCAAAGTTTGCAATGAACATCCTTGCAGGTCACTGCAAAAAATAGAAAAGTGGTATCAAGGGTAAGCATTCAAAATGACTGCAGGAGGTGGAAGGACAGAAAGAAATTACAGTAAAACTTCAATGTAACCAGCTCTCCACTTTGCAGACTTCAGATGCAAAGGACAGAATTTCCATATCATCCCCTGGGAACAATAGACAAGCCCATTGCATCCAAAGAAGTCTAGATGGGACACTTGAATTTGTGTTATATTTAATATCATTTGTGTTAACTGACATTATTTGTGTAATGAGATCTCCATGTAAATTGACGCAAATGAGGTAATCTGCATCATTTGCATAATAACATGATTATGCAAATAATGTAGGCACCACAAATGACATACTTTTGGATATAGTGGACATTTAGAAGTGACACATACCTCTCCCTCAAATTACTCCATTCAATCAAGGATTTCTGTATTATCACTTTCAGTATTAACAATATTTCTAATTCCACTTAATAACTGAAGTTCTCTGGGTAAGTTACAGTGTTAGTTAAAATGTTAAATGTTTCTGCGCATATTACCCAAGGAAAAGAATAGTGTTGTAGCAAAATGCAAACCGAATGGAAAGCTATAGAAATGTCTGAGAGAACGGGAATGTCTTTGACTCACTGGGAGGCGGGTGGCATATAAATTTAATTTATTGTTGTTGCTGTTGTTTGCTTGGTGCCAAAAAGATATTGAGACAGAGAAGGACGAAAGAACTGAGATAGAAAAAGTAATCCCCGTGCTGGCATTTGGGAAAGGGAAGAAGAGAGAAGCTATTTTCTGATAAAGAATAGGAAAATGCATGGGATTTGACTGGGGAGGAGGAATCTGACAAACATATGACAGTTTTGAATCGTCATCCTAGAATGTGTTTCAAATTACTACTAATGTTTTTGTTGAGAGTTTCCTGTATTTTTGTTCCAAACTCTGCTCTGAGAGAGCCCTATGACCATTCTGCCAGTTTTGCTGATACAAATTAATGCAGTGGCATATGATACCAAGAGATAGAAACATTATTATACTAATGCTGCATATAATTGCTTTTTCAATACCAAAAAAAAAAAATCTCTGCGAGGCTTCTGAGCTACAGCTTAGCCGTTTCATGTACTAATCATAATATTTGGGCCACAATTTAAATCTGGCCCACTGACTTGCATTCCAATAAATATATGAAACAAAAGACAATGAACCAGAAATGTTTTCCATTAGAGGTTCTTAATGAAAGAGAAACTCAAAAGGAGTTGCAGATATAAGAGGATATGTCAAAGATTACTGATGTTCCTGATATTGCCTGCATCAACCTGTGGAATGCCCAGGGCTGTTTTCAAAGACATTTTAAGGAAGGGAGAGGGAATGTATGTAGCTTCTCTTGGAGTTCAGGAAAATTAGAAGAAAGTTTCAAATTCAGGAGTCTCACCTTGTCACTCAGGCTGATGGGATTTTAGACATGTTTTCTTCCTCTGCTCCCTTTCTTTTTAATTTTGACACGGATCATTGAAAGAGTAAAATTCACAGTGCATACTCTCAAAAATAAATATGAATCAGCTTTGGGATTGTTTTTTTAATCACATAGAGGGCTAGAAATGATTGAAATAAAATAAATAAATTTGGGAAACCGGCAGTATTTGGAACAGCCTCAGTCAGCTCCATCGCTATTTTTTAAGGACTCCTAGGCCCTGTTTGCACAACATGCTTAACTGGATCAGTGGACAGAACAGATCAGTATGTTGTGGGAACTTCCAAAAAAGGTTAAATGATCTCATCAATTAATCTCCAGGGCAGTAGTTCAAAAACTTCATATTTCCATGACTCTCTGAAATGATAAATGAATTTGTCTGCCCATGACACCTGCCATGACTAAAACTGATGATTTCATTGGTGTTAGTGCTGGGCAAGTCTTCTTTCTTGTGGCTGGGAGACCCAAAAAAAAAAAAAAGCCATCAAAAGACTGACATGGATGTTCTGGATCATGTGCTGCCAGTGAATAGTGACTGGAGGATGGAAAGTTGATCATTTGTATCTTGGGAGAAGGACTTTTGGGTATAAGCTTATCCTGGAAATCTACTAGCTTTAGCTGTGGCAGAGCTGAGCCTTAAGGCAGAGCTGAGCCTTAAGTTCCTAGAGGATCTTGTCAACTGGCAGTGATTTCTAAATTACTCCTCCTCCACTCACTGACATGGAATAAGCAGGAATACATTTTTGTATGAGCTTTGTTAAGTCCTTTCATGAAACCAACCACTAGAGGCTGTGACTGTTTTTTATAGTTTAGACTGTTGTAGCTCACGAGCAAATCATGTTTAATCAAACCATGGCTTAAGAGGAACGTGTGAACACACTCTTAGTCCTTTGGATCAAGGATAAGAAATTCAAGTTAGCTTGAGAATTTTCCAGTGTAGGACCTAGTTAGAAAGGTATTGTTCATCCCTTGCTAGATTCAAACTGAGTAATTGTGAAGACTAGATTGTGTCCTACAGATTTATGGCCTACCATTATGGCTTACCATGATCCAAAGCATTCTTCAGACCCTCAAGTAAGTCCCAGGGAACCCGGATATGCAGCCATATGGGTATTGGGCTTCCAACTTCGGGCCTCAGTCCAACATACTTTGAAGTAATCAAGGTATTTTGCTTCTTTTGGTACTGAAGTTCCTTTAATGGAGAAAACCTCAGGAGATCATCAGCAACTTTCGACTCATTCTGACCATTGCATTTATTGTGTACCCATTAAACAAAGAAATACATTTTAAAAATTAGTGGGCTGCAATAGGATCCTCTAGTACCTCTGGGGTTTCATCCAGTTCAGGAAGATAATGGGACAATATCAAAAACTGAATTCAAGAACCTCTGCATGGAAAAGGAGTATTCTGTCACTGAGAAGGGCTCACTTTCTTGGATAGCCAGTGTTATGCCCCTGGTTTTGCAGAACTACCTAAAGGTAAGGCTGATGAAATAAACATATGCCCTTCAGTGGCATCTGCAGCAAGTTGAGATCATGACAAAATGACAACAAATGCACTTTGATGTCATCATGCACATTTTGTCATTTGCTTCTCCCCAGCTGCAGACACCCAGGGTGTCCTTAAAGAATTGTAATAATTCCAAGGCTGACGTTTTCTCCATGATTTCCAAAGCTTATATTTTCTTTCATAGAGTAGTCAGTTTGAGTTTTAGAACTAGTGAGCAACATAGTCCTATGTGTAATTTCTCATTTTCTCTTGAATTTATCCTGCACTGCTTTCTCTCAGAACTCAAGAGGAACAGATGCTGGAAAGCAGCAATTTGCATGGTGTTTTGGCTCAGAGTAAATCAACTTGAATGCATTACTCTGGTTGCAGGTGGTTGCTATTGATGTAGATATGGCTTTTTTTGAGCCTAAAATGAGAGACATCCTTGAACAAAACTGCACAGGAGATGAAGACTGCATTTTTTTCGATTGCTTTTCAAAATGTGACCTGAAGAATGGAAAATGTGGAGCAGAAAGAGCCAATAATAACCTTCAAGTGAGTGGCTAAGTAGAAATATTTCTCTTTAACTGGCTGCATGCCTCTGCTTTAAAATACTAATTTCTGTACTGATTAAAATGAATGTTTCTATGACTGGCATTTGGGCATGTTTATATACGTCTGCACAATCACTAGCTGAGTAGTGACTTCAACGTATATATAAACATGCCCAGAGACATCAGCCACAGACAGATTGTGCAGTGTCACATTGTGTCAAGCCAAATGCTTTTTAGGAAAGACAACAGGTTTGGTTACCACTCCAGTCTCTGCAATAACATCTCTATTATCTACATCTGATGTAGCATCCCTCCATCACAGTGCCAGCAGTAGCTAGTGATGCTGAACAGAGAGCAAGACATTCCATAATGTGATAACACTGTGTAACTTGGCAAGTTGTCCTAGACATTATGATATGGAAGGAGAAGAATTTGCCATGGCAGTGATGTTGGTAACAATCATCCCACAATGAGTAAAATGGGGAGTCAAGCTACATGTGTACCTTGGTAAAAATGGGTCCTTACTATTATGGCTATGCAAAGTATTTTTTAGTCAAACCAGCAGCCTTTTATACCCATAATGTTCAGTTACAAAGGAGCCAGAGGACTTTATTATCATGTAGCTTATTCTTACATCCAATGCTTATATTGTATAATTGGTTGCTGCATTTTTCTTCTGTGAATGGATTCACTTCTTGCACCTTGTAAGGAGGTGATCTGACCTGTTTGTTCTGACTGGTGAGCTGGGAAGCACTTGGTGGTCAAAACTTGTTCTCAGTTTCTCACATTTTATAATCAGAATAAAGGTCAAACATATTAATCTGACTGTGCTTCTACTAATTTTATTAGCAACCACCTCTATGCCCTCCTTAGAGTAGTTTCTTGTTGTTGGATTAAGAAGGTGTTTACCCAAGAAGGGAATCACCTTGTTCTAGGCAGAACAGAATTTTACTGAGTTTTTGATGGTTTGATGGGGGTGGGGGGGATTGTTTTTACTGTTTTGTGCAGTACCCAGGGTTATTGTTACAATATGGGCAGCTATATAAGTCTTTGAAAAATAATAATACATAAAACAGTGGGGAAATTTGTCAGCAGCCAGAAGAGAGGAAAAACCTACAGTATAACTTGCCTCCAAAGTGCAGAGTGATACAATTTATTTAGATGCCAGAAGTCAGTCTTTTTGCCCAGATGAATGTGTGTGTTTGCATTGATTTATGCAGCAAAAAAAAAAGTGGGGAACTTTTCTGCTCGGGGGTCTCATTTTGTCTTCGTGTCCCATCCGGGGGCATGGTGACATCATCAAAGTGGGTGGAGCCAACAGGTTTTGAACTTTCTGGTCTTGGAGGGGGGGAGTTAAAAAGTGTGTCTTAAGCCTTTGCAGCTTTTAGGTGCCCATGAAACTTCCAAGCCCCCAGCAAAGCAAAAACCCCTGAGGCTGATCATATTGGCCTCCAGTGGGGCTGGGAGCCACAACCAGAATGCTTGGGGGCTGGCTGCTGGTTGTTCCCCCTGCATAGATTTTCTCTGCCAAGCAGACCCCAGGTGAGTCGCTTGTATAGAAATTGTTCTGAACCAAGATTTCATTAGAGAATGGCCCTGTCATGGTCTGTGAGGTGTTTATGTGCTGGATTTTTATTTTATAGCCTTACTGTGGAGTTCTGTGAGCCGCTTAGAGCCAATGGGAATTTAGCAGCATTGAAGCCTTAGTAAATAAGTAAATGAATACATAAATTGCAAAGTGCGACAGGCCTGAAAATCTCATGTGATTCTTCAATACAAGGCTCTTTTTTCTTCTTTTTCCATAGGTCATCTGTGATAAAATATTTCGTCCCTGGTTTGCTCTAAACCTTGGAGGATCAGCTGTTTCCTTTCCCATGCAGCTACAGTTACAGCAAGCTGTGCATGATTGTGCAGAACTAAGGATCAAGGGTATTTCCAACGTCCAGAGCAATTCTCCAAATTCTCTTTCTCAGTTATACCACTTGCTCCAAGCCAGCCAAAAAGAACTTCAAAAATCTAGTCTAATAGATCCATCAGTGATGGTTACCCAGGAAACATAGCTTTTTCTTATTGCTGTTGCTGAGTTAAATTATTTTCTACTTAATTTTTTTTTTTTTACAGTACTTTGAAAACCATGACTGAGGTTGCTGTGTACATATTACAATGAAATCCTGATTTAACAGACCTATATTCAGTAGACTTTGGATACAGTGGACCAAATTTCTATTTGGAAATCCCCCCTGAAATAACAGACATGTCTATTGCACTTAGAGTAGTTTGGATAAGGCAGTTAAATTTACACTAATTTTATCTTAATTTTATGACACTTACAGCAATATATGTCATTTGCATAATGATGTCATTAGGTAAGTGATGTCAATCACTGTCAAGATATACTTTTGTATTTAACAGACATTGGGAGTAACAAATACACCCCTCTGTTCCCAAATGGTCCATTAAATTGAGGGTTAGCTGTATTAATTCTCTCTGAAATGTGAAAAGCAGTAATATCAGCCAAACTAATACAAAACTCAAATAATTTACATTTCAAAGTGTTTAGGGGAGGAGAAAAATAGAACAACTTAGTAATTTAATTTTACTTCTAAAATGAATAGTTGAGAATGGCTGAGCATTTAATTAACATGCTCAATGAAGATAGTGTAGATCTTTGCAAAGAGAGTGTATCATATTTTAACAAAGAGCAGTTTTTAAATACATTTATCTGAGTTACGGCCTCCTTGTTGCTCATAGTTAAGACAAATTATTTAGACTAACAAAGTTTAGTGATAAAAGTGGAGTAGAGAATAAATGCAATGTCATTTTGTTGTTATATCTGGACCACAGGCTTTGTTCTTCTCTGTTTCAGTGATGCTGCAACACTGATGAATTAACTAGCAATTCTGTGAAGGACAAATACATATATTTGACATTGTTTACTAGATTGTAATCCAAGGATACCTTTAAATCAGGACCAACTTGTTTTATGGCTGCATTCCCTCACAATTAACAGGTTTGGGATGGCATGACATTCATTGCGGCCAAAAATCAGTGCTAATACCCCATGATAAAACACTGGTTTTTCCTCTCCCTAATACTCCCGCAAGTCTCATTTTCTTCAACATCCTCTTTCTTTCCCATCTTGCAGGCTACAAGTGAAGTAGCTTTTACTAGGAGTCTGACAAATCTCTTCCAGATGGTTTTTAAAATTCAGATCCCTTATGAAGTTGGACCCTCAGCACTCATGGATTCTTCCACCTGTATTTTTTCCACCATTTGAATCCATTGCTTCCAACTGTGTATTTCACAAAGGTAATGTCCACACAATGTGCTAACCCATAGTTGGGTTGAATCAAATAAATTGCAAATAGCAAAATATTCCAGTAAAATAGAAACCATAGTTAATAAGCAGCAGTAACCAAGTAGACATCCACAAAGATGGAAACCACATTTTAACTTATTCTGTTGCGCTAACTTGGCCCTAGAAATCTGCACCCTAGAACAGTTTGCCAAGAAGATGACCAAAAGGAGGGACAACACATATTATGTTGGAGAAGCTATAATCATGAAGTATTCATTTAGATGAGTCATTTTAAATTCTATCAGCAAAATCAACAGCAGCTTGACGTCTATCCTTTAAACTCTTGTTTCATTGTATTCTTGGTTCTGGGCAGCTTTTCCTAAATCTGAGCTGCAAAAGTCCTGATGATTAGCAGGGATCACATTTCTGTCTCGCTTTGCTGCCATCTAATGGTTGCCTAGCTTTTTGCATCCCTAACCTGGCAGCCCATTAAGAGGTGCTGAGGAGAAATCCATCCAGACTTCATAGTCTGCTGCTAATTTTCCTCTTTAGCATGGCAGCACCATGGTAAGATTGCATCACGGTTCTGTGCCTGAACCATCTCGGACTTTTAGCAGCTCTGCAGAAAGGTGCAGCAGTTGATGGTGCTCACAATTTTCAAAACATACTATTTTAAAATATATATATTTACAATATAGACTGTCCTGTTGAGAAAGGGGGAAGTACATGCGGGATTCTGAGCACTGTCTCACAATGGGAACATTCACAAAACATGTTTCGCATGATTACTGAGTTAGCCTGTTTGGCAGGGCTTGTACCATACACTGAAATACAAATGAAGCCCAAGTACTTCCAAATAAATGCGCACAGGATTTCAGCCTGAAAAAATACTTAAGCCAACTGGAGCTTCCTTTTTTCTTTCTGTAACATCATCATAACTGAAATGAAACAAACATTTTTCCTAGTTCTGAAGCTTTAAACCAAACTTTTACTATACATGAGCAAACTCTAGTTCTGTGCCATTACTTAGAAAGCAACAATCCTAGATGATTTATCTGTAAGACAAAATGAGATTTAGTTCTGAGGAAACAGGCAATAAAACTGCTGGAATATGTTTTCCTCCTTGCTTCATCATGAGTATAAGCTTAGGATACTGCATCTGAAACAACAGGAGTGGAAGTCACTGATAATGGTCTGAAATATACTTAATGTTGTTGACAGAAGATCAGATGAAACCCCCCAAAAATCCTGACTAATAATATTGTGGCTAGTGAGAGAGTCAGTTTGACATAAAAGTTAAAGATGCTGAATTAGAAGCTGAGGAACTGTGAGTTGTAGTCCTACCTTAGGCACAGTGCCAGCAGCGTGACTTTGCCAGTCATAGTCTCTCCGTCTTTGGAAGAAGGTGATGGCAAATCACTTCTGAAATTATTGCCAAGAAAAAGGCAGGGACTTGTCCAGGCGGTTGCCAGGAGTCACGGTTGACTTGATGGACCATAACAACATCAGTGAAAGTTATCTGGAAACAAATAAAAATTGCCTATTATGTTTAGTCTGCTTTTGGATTTTATGTTATCATAGTCCAGAAATAAAAGTGTTATTCCTTATGGTTTCGAATATCATACTTAAGTCTAAAAGGTTATATAAAGTCTGATTTGAAAAAAACAAAAACCCAGCATTTGCTGTTGCTTAAAAAATACAACCTATTGCCTAATGGAAAATTAACAAGTAACTGCAGGCACCAGTGTGGCACATTTGGCTGAGGAAAGGACACTTGTCACACTTTCCACACAGTTGGAATTATTCCTTGAAATGGGATTAGTTTCTCTGGCACTGCACACAATTATGAGCAAAGAAAGCCCTAATAGCTGCCAGAACCAGGCAAGAGCCAGACTTACACTCTCCAGTTTCTTTCTGCCAAAGGAAAGATGCACTGCAATATCGCAAGTAATACAGGCATCAGGTGCTAACTTCCTGGAAGGAGGAAGACCTCCCATCTCATCTCCTCTTATCTCTGAAGCTGAGGATAATTAAGTCATTCAGGACGCTGAACTGTTTGAGGTCTTTTCCTCCTTTACACTTAACCATGGTACAGAAATACCCTGGAACATCTTTCATCTGATACATCTTCATGATGTTGCTTTCATCTAATCCCCAGCCTATGGGTGAGACAGTTTAAGTCATCCTTGGGTTTAAGAAGTTGGTTGATTGATTGATTGATTGATTGATTGATTGATTATGTGCCATCAAGTCATTTTCAACTCCTGGTGACCTCATAGATAGA